TAACGGGCCCACCAAAAATATATATATAAACCCCAATGATGGACGTCAGATAGATAGGTCTGAGGGGCTACTATTATTTTTTTTATCTTTCTCTCTCTATCCTGTGTTCCCCTTCAAGAACATGAAAGCACAAATCTTTCAATTTTCTCTTGATCCTTAATCCAAAAATTATTCACATATCCAACAGAAACATCATATCAATACAATATTCTGAATACCCCATGTTGATACAATTTCGGATATCAACAGTTCTACGGCGAGCAAAATAGGGACGTCGGCTGAGCCGACGTCACTATTTCCTCGCCGTTGAGCTTCGACTCCGGCTGAGCCGACATCATTATTTTCTCGCCGTAGAGCCTCGACTCCGGCTGAGCCGATGTCATTATTTGCTCGCCGTTGAGCCTCGACTCCGGCTAAGACGACGTCCATATTTTCCTACGTTGAGCCTCTGCTCCGTATTGCCCTACCGTCGAGCCCCCGCTCCGGCCGCCAAAAAGAAATTATCACAACAAATAAAAATCCGAGCAACAGCTCGGTACCGATGTAAGCATAGCGACACTCGGTCTCGCTGATACCCCGTAATACATCCAAATCCCACGCATGGTTTGGTTGGGGTTGAAGCTCGTCCACGTCACTTCAGCTAACATGATTTGACGGGTCCCGATAATTGTCGAAACATGAACACCTCGGTTGGGGCCACTCCATAATCGGACTCTGACGAAGTTCGGTGAACCCTATTTATTTTATGTACGGCATCGCATGTGTTAAGTTCGGCAAACTCTTAAGTTTGCAATACCGACTTACGCTATTGCCGAATTCATTAAGAAGATCATTCAACGTGGAACTCGGATTTCTATATATGTACCGAGTTCATTACACGATTTAGAAATTGCTGAATTTCATACAGCAAAATTGGTTATACACTTGACTGCAGCATAGCAACATCAACGACCATCACTCCGTATGCCCATCGATGTTGGGGGCCTCTCTGTTATCATCCGAATCGGTAAACCCACGTTAGGAGATACCAAACGTTTCATTAAGAAGAAGATGATCGTTGAACCGACGTGATTTACTCCACCCCGGCTCAGACGACGAACCGGACCGAACTACCGAAGACCGAAGTGGTCAGCACCTACCGAGGTCAGCATAAACCGAGATCGTCACCTCCTTAAGCAGGTGACAAGGTGCCTACGTACAATCATCCTACTCCACCAGATCCGTCATCATTTATGTGGGACCCCCTACCTCACAACCGCCCACAAAAAGTCACTTTATTCAAAAAGTGATGCACAGATCCCAATGTATCAACCCGAAATTACTATAAATAGCAGACCCATGACATTTGTACGGGGATCTCTCTCCGAACTGAAAAAACTTTATTAAGCAACACGCAAAAGCCCATCACGGCTCTTCACCTCGGTTCACCTCGGACCGGGGCCATTGTTGAGTAAATCTTACATGCTTTACGTCTAAATCATTCAAAATTATCCACTTAATTACACGTTACATCGTTGTTAGAAATCACATAACAACATCTCTAGAATTAAATTATGAAATTTAAATTTTATTAACAAATCTTTGTTCAAAGATTTTTCTCATTTCAAGAGCAATACATGCCAATTTGTCGAATTATTATCAATATCTTATGGCAAGTTATATGAAAATATGCGAAAATTTGAAAATCATATCACATTGATTTTATAACAAATCAACCAAAAGTCCTAAATAGAACTTAAATCACTTATTTTATTCTCAAAATTCTCAAATACACTTCTATCAATACCAAACGAAATTTATACAATTTAAATTCGGGCATTTCATATCAAAAATAAAATCGCCCTATTTTTATTCATCATAATAATCAACTACTATTTTATTAAGATAATTTTCTAAATTAGCCACCCTATTTTATTATAAGCAAATATTTTAATATTTCTAGTAATCTAAGTTTTATACACTTTTAGCTTACGGAACACGAAATTATATTTACGCTACGTAATATAAGAACCAAAACACGACAAATTACATTATAAACATTTTAAATCACTAAAAGACATGTTCAATATGAATGACCGTTACGGCGAGGTTGCATTATTTATGGGGAAACCCGTGAGTCAAACAGTGGTAAACATTTCAAGTATTGATTTTTTAAACATTAAACAAATCATTTATTTTTTAGAAAGAAAATAAATAAATATTGTGATTGGGTATCAACTAATTTAATGCATGATATATCATATTTATCTAAATAAATTTCATATTATTGAATTCATAATTTTATAAATTTATTTTTATTTTTGGAATTTATTTATATTTTAATTTTAAAAAATTTAATAGTAATCATGGTTTTAAATAGCGCAGCGCCGCTATAGCGGCTCAGATCAGCAAACGCCAAGCTATTGCTGTTTTTGCCGCTATCCGCGCTATTCGCGCTATTTGGCGCTATAGCGCCGCTATAGCGCCAAATAGCGCCGCTATAGCGCCAAATAGCGCGAATAGC